TAATAATAATGTGAGTTTGTATTCACAAAAAGTTGCTTTCGTAAACATTACTTCCCCGCATTTACCATATTGAATATATCAATATTTTGGGATTAATGGTTATAATAATATGTTATACAGGGTCCCATAACTTATAAGTTTTTCTTCATAAAACATCAGGTAATATTAGAGATGAAAGCAAGAAAATTGAGTATGGAAGTATCTACATGTATTGGCAAATATCTGTCATACTGGATAGCTCGAGGGAAAGAAATCAATTGTTGGAAAATAATCAATTTACAATTGAATGTGTTAAAACATTAAAAATTGAGTTTCCTTTCAAAATCATGTATCTATTTGTAAGCAATTTTGTATCCCGGCAACGGGGATAGGTTGTTGTTTAATAAATATTGAAAGTTGGAGTTGAAGTAATTTCTTTAATATACATTTGCTGTTGAAAGTAAGCCTGAGTGGCCCCAGAATAATTGAGTTTACATATCAGAAGAGGGATACGAACGCCTGAAAACAAGAAAAAAAATCGTAAATTTTCCAAACATGTCGGAAGAAGATGTTAATGCTAGCCGAAATGGCCCAGGAAACGCTGGAGGTGAGCCAAGTTTACATCTTCCAAATACTAGCCCACGTAATGATGCCATTATGGGTCAAATGTTTGAAATGATGATCGCAGAGGGACGCAGGAGAGACGAGATGCTAACCAGACTAGTTGAACGATTAGCAGTGCAACCTAATAACAATGGACAAGTTTCGGATCTCACAAATATACCAGGACAGGCGACCGCCGCCGCTACATTTCATGTAATGCCAGATCTGAGCAAAGTCATCGGATACTTCGATGGCGACAATGACGTACCAAGAGCAACTGATTGGATAAAAAACATCGAAACTAGCGCTACTCTGAACAGATGGCCTGATAATTACATATTGGAGACAGCTAGGGCTCACCTGAGGGGTCCTGCCATATTTTGGTATAAGACTAAGCAAGATCTGATTGCATCCTGGGAAGATTTCAAGAAAGAATTCCAAAGATCCTATAGACTGAATCAGCGAACTGTTGATAAATGGGAGAGAATGCGGGGACGACGACAATTCCGTAATGAGTCAGTGGTTTCTTATTTCTACGAGAAGCTGAGCCTGTGTCAAGCTCTGAATTTAGATTTCGATGAAATAAAAGAAGAGATTTTATGTGGTCTCATCTCCAGAGATATTGCAGCATCTCTGATTTCCAAACGTTATGGTGACTTTGACGTTTTGTGTCAGGATATTGTGTCAGCCGAAAAAATCAAATATACAGGTTGGCGTCAAAATATATACTTATACGATCGATATTGTCAATCTGAACATTCAAGCAATTATGAAAGAAGTTTCAACAATGCAGAAGAAATGCCAATCAGTAATATATTCAGTGATAAACCCAAGAGTTTCGTAAAACCTGATGCAGCCACAATGAATCGACCTGCAAGGAGATGTTTCAAATGTGGTTTGTATAATCATCTGGCGAATCAGTGTTCTAGACCCAATATGGTATGCTTTGGCTGCAAACAAGAAGGTCACTTATTTAATGAATGTCCTGCGAAGAATACAATCGATTATTCTATCAAAACGATAAACAATAATTCTAATGGCATTCATTCGAAATTTAATAAGACTGTGATCTTGGATGGTGCAATTTCCCTCATTGCGTTTGTGGATACGGGTAGTGCAGTATGCACACTGAAGGAAAATCTGATACATAGACATAAGCTGCTTGTAGAAAATGACCATCAGCCACTTTTTAGTTTTGGTAACCAAAACACCCCAGTACTGTACACACTAGGCAAAATTCGTATGAGCATCAAAGTTGATGACGTTATTGCAGAGGATGTCACGTTCCTTGTTGTTCCGGACGAAGCCCAAGATACAGACGTCTTATTGGGACGAACATTCCTGGATATCGACAATATTGCCTTCCTAAAAAAAGCCGATACTCTGTACTTTGGATATGCTGATCTAGATCCTTTCAAAGAGGTGAAGGTAGGAGCTCTCTTGGATTCTAGAAGCGGAATTTTTGGAACTGTCGAAATACAGAAGAAATTTGATGGTGAAATGAAAACTAGTGGAAATAAGAAGATAATGAGGGTTGTCAATCTGAGAGAAAAAGATATACTGTGTGAAGTTGGACAAATTTTGAACACCGAAGCAGAAGTCCCCAAAGAAGGAATCGACAATAATTCAGCTGATGACAAAGAACAATTTGATGAGAAAAAAATTATTGGGAATATAATTGATGTTGAAGAAAACGTAGTAATGAAAGCCAAATTACAACCAAAATACAAGAGACCACATGTAGTCATTCAGGAGCTACCCGCGGATACCTACATGATAAAACAGTTACAATGCGAAGGCGGAGTTAGAAAACATCATCAAGATAGTGGAAGCAATGGGAAAGATGAATCTCATGAAGATGATGTTCAAATCGATCAAGAGTCTGAACAGAAGAAAACTACTGAAATAAACGAGGCCCCTCCACATACAGAGACCAACATCCATGTGAGAGAAAAAAAAAGACTGGTGAAACCAAGAATATATGATGATTACCACTGTGATTGGCTCACAAATTGATTGCATATTTTCATTCTCTTGCGAATCAAGCATCCATTCTGATTATTTGATAACAAAGTAATATCTTGTTTTGAATGAAAATAGAAAAATACGAACGAGGCCGTTCGCAATACAGGATGGTCGAATGTAAGCAATTTTGTATCCCGGCAACGGGGATAGGTTGTTGTTTAATAAATATTGAAAGTTGGAGTTGAAGTAATTTCTTTAATATACATTTGCTGTTGAAAGTAAGCCTGAGTGGCCCCAGAATAATTGAGTTTACATATTCAATGACTATCTATGTTTATGCTCTATGACGAATATAGGTAGGTTATGGGACCCCCTGTAAAGGAGACATCAGCATACTGTTGATAGTGTTGATATACAATGTGCTCAATTTGATCGGCACCACATTTATATCATTTATTTTATGAAAAAGAAGTTATCCCTGAAAAAATGTTCTGAATGGCATGAATCACATAATATATAAAATAGTTAGATATCAATTATTCGCAATCGTATAGAGGTTTGTCAAAAATTCAAACAGATGGGTATTCAATATCAGGTAATGCAGAATTTGTCATCAGGAATAGCCATTTTTCTCGGTGAAAAATAACTTGAAAATAAGGGAAGTCCTCTTCGATGAAGAACCCTGTTCAAGTGTACATTTTCGAATATCGTTGGTCAGTGCGGGGAAGTGAAATTCTAACATTGTGTTGTTTGGAAGTAGACATTTTGATATAAACAGTATCAAGACATACTTCGTTTTGATTAACAAAATAAATTGAGTGCTTTTCAAACAAAAAGAATAGTTAAATTGTGTTTTACTCATACACTAACCCTTGGCTAATCGTTCATCTTTCTGGTGTGCTATTTTTACTCAGATCGACCTATATGATGTCATTTCTCAGATATATTCATTATTATAATTCCAGAAGCGAGGAGAGAAAATTGAACTAATTGAACTCCGGATATGAACAGTGCTGTTAGGAAGATATGATACAGACGTACCTATTTTAGTGAAAGTTTTATTTCAAAATATCTCTACTTATCTGGAGGCACAGTATATTATCCTAAAGGATATAATTTACTGTGCTGGCCGTAACCCATAACTCGACAATGATTGATTGTTGATTATCCTTTACGTTGTAATACCTGTAGGTAATAATAGATTGTAGTAAAAATTAATCCAAAACATTCTACAATTCCATATTTTATTTTCCTGCTAACAGTTTGTGTTTATCGCTCGGTTTATCGTGCATTCATCTACTATTCCTTGTCCTCTTCTTCTACCTCTTAGACAATGTGTCACCTCAAACTGAGGAATTTAAATGTCCCCATCAAATTTACTCGAACAGAAAATAGAAAAAATATTATGATAATATGGTAGATTTCATGAGTTTTTTTCAAGTTCATCGATTATAAGAGTTATGAACACACACACATACACATATATATATATACAGCGTGTCTCACTTTAAACGCCCCCCCCCCTCTATATCTCAGTTATTAGTCATGCGAATCCAACCAAATTTGGTGTGGTATGGATAACCATCAATATGATCAGTCTTACAGAGATGCACATTATTTTGGACAGTGCCGTGCGTTTTTATTGAACTAAAAAGGGGTCGATTTTTTCTTTTATCATATTAGGCATTTTTTTACAGTAAATCTAACCTCATATTATTGTTCCTCATGCTTTCGAACCCCCATATGCAAAAAATCATCTAATTCCGAATTAACAGGATCACCTTCATTTTTTTCATTTTCAGTCTCGAATAAATATAGTGACTTCAAATCAACTATGAATTTTGGAACGTTCAATGGCTCTGTTAGATGGAATATCATGATTTGGAAGGAAAAACGAGTTATACTTTTTTATATTGTATGTTGTTCCGAGTAAATAATTATTACGTTCGCAAAAATGCTGTTTAGATGTGCCTGTTTTTCTGAAACCCTTTATAGGCATCTCATGAAAATCCACGTATGTGGGTTTGAAACCATGAAGAACAATATTATTAGGTCAGTTTTCCTATGAAAAAACGCCTAATATGATTTAATAAAAAACAGACCCCTATGCATTCCATTAAAAATGCACGGCACTGTCTAAAATGATGTTTCTCTTTGAAGAACTGGTCATATTGATGATTATTCATACCGATTCAAATTTGGTGAAGATCGCACGACTGATAGCTGAGATATAGAGGGGGGCCGTTTGAAATGAGACATGCTGTATATACCTTAAGAATTTTGACTTGAGATTATATTAATAGTGCATGATGACCAGCATTATATTTAGATATACCTACATATAGAATATAACAATAACTCATTTGCACGAACGTTGCATGAATTACGAAGTAATATTCATCATTGAATTATTCTCAATATTTTCATTTATTGAATGTTTTTATTTTTTATAGGAGGAGTTGCGTAACGGAGGAACCAGTGTAAGTAAACCTTTAACCTATTCGCCTGCTTCAAAAGTCATTTTTCTCCGAACCTAACCAGACAAACCCGGTTAACTTAACTACGTCACTAACGTCACGGTAACTTTATTATGACGTCACGGTTTACTTGTGAAGCTTGACAGATGTCAGTTTATCATCAGCTGTTTTTGTTTATTGTTTGGTTATACTAATATATTGGATAACAAATTCATTATTTGTAACAAAAATATATCATAGATAGGAACTAGGTATTTACATACCTATATACTTCCAATTCATGAAAATTTGAACATTTCGCTACGTATATACCTACTTATTTACTGAATTTTCATTTTCATCGATAATATGATGAGATCTCTCATTGAAACTCCGTGAACTAAATCAATGAGCTGGTTTATGTGGTTGGTTAATATATAATTATATCACGTCATAGTTTGCAATATGTTGTAACTTCTCACAAAACTCGGTGAATATATGAATTTGAAAATGTCTGTGTTAATTATTTATTTTAATGATAACAACTGAACTAAAATAACTTTTTCATCTCCATGACATAACATAAGAACAAAAACATGTTGACAACATCATCAATCTTTAATTCTCTCAATACCTCCCCTCAAAGTGGTGAGTTTGAAATTCTTGTCATGCAAGATGGAGCTATCCCTCACTCCTAAAGCTTTCATGAATTTCTTGTGACTCGGACTCGGACTAGGTAATATAATTCAATACAAATATTTTAATGACATATTCCTGGGGTCAAAATAAGACTTTATTTTCCTATAAACATGTGTCCTGAAATCCACCCCTTCCAAGCTACAGACATCGCAAGATGCGCAAAAAAAATCTTAAATTTTGAATTGTGGCTACAATTATGCATCAAATATTTTGAAAATTCACAGGCACTTGTATTTTTAGACGATCTATTCATTTCTTGATTCAAAAATAAGGTAACTCGAATCGAAAGGGGTGAATGAGGGTTGCATACAGATGTCTATAGCTTGGAGGGGGTGGATTTTAGGACACATGTTTATAGGAAAAAAAGTCTTATTTTGACCCCGGGAATATGTCATTAAAATATTTGTATTGAATTATGTAACACCCTGTATACAGGATATATTTTCGTTGTTTTTGTCTTTCCTTGCTTCATATTCTTCGATTATTCTTATTTTGAGAGCGTCGGGTTTCGGTAATTCATCCCTGGATTCGATTGCGCATCTGAAATTTTCATATTCTTCTGGCAAACTATAGAGAAGTATGATAGCCAACAACTCTTCATTGATGTGAAGATCCATCTCTTGTAGTTTATCGACAATATCGAAAAACTGTGATATATGGCTTTTAACATATCCATTTTCTCTCAACTTATTCAGAGTTAACTGCTTCAACAACGTCGTTTTTCTAGCAGGACCTTTCGATTGGTATATGGTTTCTAATTTCCGCCAAATTTCACGAGAGGTCTTTCAATTTTTCATTTGTTTCAGCTCCGTGGGGCTCATCGAAAGAATGGAGATCAGATTCTACTTTCTTATTCAGTATTTCCCATTTTCTGATATTTTCTTGAGATTCTTCATTTCCCACTATCAATAGTGGTTTGGATATTGATCCATCGACGTATCCCCTTATTCGTTAAAATTGCTTCCATTTGTAGTTTTCAAGTGTCATAATTTTCGTTTGAACAAAAATTCAAAATTGCACTAAATTTCCACTCATAGTTTCCTCTACATATATTCGATTCGGTTATTCTGAGCCCATAACCTGTTATAACTTTTCACAAAACTCGGTGAATATATGAGTTTGAAAATTTCCATGTTAATTATTTATTTTATTGATAACAACTGAACTAATATAACATTTTCATCTCCATGACATAACATAAGAACAAAAACATGTTGACAACATCATCAATCTTTGATCTTCTCAACAGAATACACTTCGAGGAAAATTGTTGACCCGGTTTGTGTGGTTAAATGGCTATATTAGAATTCAATTCAATGCCTAGGTATTATTATACCTCCTACAAATTAAATTTTATTCCGAAAATCATTCAATCTCCGTTCGAAACAGATATCTGATTTTTTTTATTATTTCAGGAAAATGGAAAACAGCCGTGAGTATTTTATGTTCTCGTGTAGTCGACACCAACCCCAACTCAACATCTCACTTTGAGTAGCACTAAGTACCCAATGTTCTTCACTGTTATACAGGGTGTATCTAAATAACACCGAAAAAATGCAAGGGGTGATTCCTCGTGATATTTTAGGAAATAAAGTTCATATAAACATATGTCCACACCGAAAAAATGCAAGGGGTGATTCCTCGTGATATTTTAGGAAATAAAGTTCATATAAACATATGTCATAACTTGCTTCGTTTTCGTGATAAAGGGTATTAGTATTTCCATGATTTAAATGAAACATTGTGGTTTTGTTTATAGTGATATGGAGCTTCTGCTAGTGCAATTAGATTCGAAATAATATTTCCAGTGGTGTCACACCACCGGTTTTTCTGAGTTTCATATTTTTATTAGATTGGACTATTGAAATAACAACTTTTTTATCCTCTGTGTGATTTTTGTATCTAGCTTAGTTTTTGAGGAACCCGTAAAAATTCGATTTGGCTTCAAATTTCAATGTAAGTAGGTGTTTGAGATTACTCTATAATTCCAATTGGAATCATTTTGAAATTTTGGGGATTTCTCAGTCTCCAGCCATACTGAATTTCGGCAACATGAAAGCTTATACATGAGAGGTTGAAAATAAAAACAATCAATACTTCCAACTTCAACATCCTGTATCTTGAAAACGGAACAAGTTAGAACACATGTTTATATGAATTTTATTTGCTAGAATGTTACCTCTTGAATTTTTTGGTGATATTTAGTTATACCCTGTATAGACAAATTGATCGTCCTCTAACTTTTTGAATTCTTTCCTAATTCTGCTGAAATTTCGACCAAACCGTAGTTTAATTCTCCGGAGTGTTAGCCGGAATTTTAATTCCTGAAAAGTGAGTGATCATACTGAGCTTATTCATTGCGTGTTGGATTGAAGTATGTGATCCATTTTTAACCCGATGGTTTTTGATTCACGTCATCAATATCTTTTCTTCAACTGTTCTGAGAAACTATGTATTTTTAAAATTTTTATCTACAGTAAGAACACAAGAGCTTTTTTTATCGGATAAATTCCTCTTGATAACGAAAAACATTTGCCGATCAGTAATTCGAGTTCTAGCAATTTTGTCTAATGTCAGTTTTTCGAGAGAAAGACCTGATGAAAAATGTTTGAGTTAGTATATAAGAACATTTATCCAATTAAAAAACAAGTTCGAGTGTTTTTTTGGCAAGATATATATCAACGACAATATACAAATAAACAACAATAATGATTAACATTATTGATAATCTCGTGTAACTGGTAGTACTGCTATGGGCATACTACATCTCGAAAATCTGCTTTTTTTATTTTATCTTAGTAATCAAGGAGTCTCATTGTAGGTGAGATCTAAAAGAATGTGGTGGGAATGAGTCAACTTTTAGATGTTTTTTCCGAGCTATAAATCGATAAGTTCATGTAGGTTTCGCAAATTCAAACAAAATAAAAAATCATTGTGTTGAGAAGGGATCGCACTGCAATCCAAAACATCATGAAGCTAAGTTGAATCACTCACTTTTGCCACAGGGTTTTAAGAAGTGTACTCCACAAAAACAGTTTTGGTGGAGTACACTGTATGAATTTTCGCCCTGTCATATTGCCTACACTCTCCTGTAAATTAGATCGCCTCAGTTGGATGATAACTTTGGTTTTTCCCTGTATGATGATGAAGCCATCAGCCTCGAAACATATTACGATTTGGTAGGAATTTCACCCAAATCGGACAAACATCAAAAAAGTTAGATGGCGATAAATTTGCCTATTTTTCTTGCTGACCGTTTTTTTTGCCGGTGAGTGTATTTTCATCCATATAGTAAATAATTTAAGGAAAGTACTATCTTTGAATCTGAATAAAAATAGTCTGGAATCTCTCATCTAACAAAGGAATACTTGAATAGCGACTCTCAAAATGCGAAATACTGTCTACCAGTTTGAATATTTGTTGTTAGCAGTACCGATGATGAAGACAACTTGGATGACAACTCAGGTGACGGAGGCTCAGGAGAAGAACCAACGAACGATCTAGGACATCCTCGTAAGTGAATTATCTATATCAATGAAACGGAAATCACAGGGGATAGACCACTGATTTTTTAAAACGACATCATCGTGAGTTCAAAAAACTACCAGTAAATATAATCTTGAATATTTTCGTTCATATATAGTAACTAGGACGATAAAAAAAAATTAAAATAAAATATGTTCATTTCAAAACACAAAAATTCTGCGCCATTTTTCAATTAATTGGTGTCTGGTGTGAGGAATTAGTCCCAACACGCCTATTGTCCTTGAGCTGACCAACCACACTGCAACACTGCAGAATGGCAAGGTATCAGAGAGAGATAGCTACAGTTCGGGACTAATACGTCACGGCTTTTTGAAATATCCATCGAATGGAATATGCTGTTGTCAAAACGCTATAGATTTGATTTCCTTCAACTCTAACTCATAATAATGATGATTGATTGACGATTGAAAGAGGTTTGTCATTCTGTACAAATTGAGATAAAGATAAATATTAGTTGAAGATTTTGAAGTTAACCCATCACCCAACCCACGGTGTCGTGTTTGGTATATTTTGATAACTCATGTAAACATATTTGATACGTATTTTTTCATTCCTTGATCTGCCTTTCCTCTCTCAAGGTATTTGACCGTTTTCACATTTACGATAAAGACTTTTTTCGATTAGAGAGTGCCATCTATCACAAAATATAAAATATTCTGAAATGTAGCTTTCGCAGTTTTCAGTCTTGAAACTGGGTGTGTCCATTTAAGATAACTATAAAACACTTTTATCATCAAAATAACTGATATATTGGTGAAAAATTGGAAGAATATACTCCTATGTTCTGTGAAATTCATATGAAATTCAAAAATATGCCCAAACAAAAGGAAATACCTTCTAAATAGGTCATATACCTACCTCACCACCACCAATAATTATGAGAATTCGAATACATTATCTAATTTAATTTAGCGTAATTGAAAAAAAAATTTGATAACTATCACTTACATAGTAAAGTAATGAAAACACGAAAAAATTACACCAAAAGCATCTCGTTGTGATAATGAAGAAGCGAAGAGATGGCGTTTAACCAACCAAGTGTTATTAAAGTCCACTATCCAGTAGTATTCATGCAAATTTGATCATTACGGCTTCTACTTGATGCATTAACCCTTTCGGTGGTCACCATGGTCGTTAAAACGAACATGTACTTTTCGTGCCAATAGTAAATTGAGGCGACACCTATCATTCCATTTATACACCACATTAGACGCGAGTGAGATGCTTATCTAGTGCAAATTTCCGCACAGGAAAATGCAATTTTTTATCATTTTTCTCAGGAAAGTGATTGGCACAGGTGCCGTTCGATGAACTACGATGTTTTCACTTTCCTTTTGAACATATATCATTTCGTTATCAAAATGACGGTAAAAATGTGTTATAAAAACGAATTCTATTCATTTGCAGAAGTGTACAGATTCGCGTTCACGATTATGGAACCTTACCACGCTGACTTCAATGACCGGAACAGCCCGAAATTCCAAGATTTGGCCAATAGAATCAAGAGATCAGTGGAAGATATTTATAATAACGTACCTGGAGATTACTACATTGGGGTTATCAGCTTACAGTGAGTGTTTAATAGTTATTTAAACACCAAGGTAGTAAATAATATCAGTATTACCCAGGGACCAAGATTATATCTCGAATCTTCAGCCGAGGGGTATGAGCACCGAACATAAACAGCAAGGTCGCGTGGTGATAATATTCTTCACTACCAAGGTGTATATTATATTTTTTCACAACTAGCAATTTATTTCAATCATACTTTTGTGAAACTGAAATATGTCACTATGATAGCACTTCTTTTCAATCCCAACTAAAATCTAGTAGCCATGCATGATCGTGACAGCAATAATTATAAACAGTCATCAGAGAGTTGAAGTGTTGTCATGAACGTTAACGTGAACGTAGAAATTGACAGCTACGCATGCGCATTTTCCAATTCTTCACGTTTGCGTTGTTAGTGGGCTTACGGGTGTACGTTATCTCACGTTCCTTCACGTATACCTTAAATATCAACGTACGTTAACCAAACTATACTCGAAATATGCCGATGAGTCAAAATTATCAAATTCGAGATCACCAACGAGTTCTGCATCAAGGAGTCCTCTAATTTTGACAGGAATAAATGTTCGAATCTAAACACACAACCAAAAATGACCAATACAAACCGAAAACAAAATGTATTATTACGTTATGATGACAGTGACGACCAAAGTGGCGACTTCAACTCAATTTAACGACAATACGTAAACGTTATTTTTCGTACGTTAACGTCTACGTGGATGTCTACGTACAGTGATTACCTCAACTCTCTATTATTGATAAATATCTACTAGATTCGAGTGCAGCGCATCAGAATAGTGAATGAGGGTAGATTATAACAGAGGTGGCTATGTCTTATTTATTGACTAGTAGTTCATAAAATTAGGAAAACTACCTTGGTGGTAAAAGCACACTCTTCGCTGGAGTAAGTAATGCCTGGTAATGCTATCTGATTATTGAATTTTATCGCTATCATTATTAATTGTAAATATTCAACCTATAGAATCCTGAGCTCAAGATATGAAGATTCAACCCAACATGGGTGTTCATTTGAAAATTTAAAAATTATTTTAGAATAGTGATTTGAAACTAATTGACGTAGCATTGTCATAAATATCTGGCGGAAAGTGTAGATACTATACACCGTACTAAATTATGTGAAAGAAACATTTCTGGCTACTACCAGAGGCGTACGACAGGGGCAAGTGACTGGTTGATCCTTCCCAAATTTTACGCCACTGGCAAAATTGACATTTTATCACTATTTTTCGATTCTCTGATACTTTCTACATGATTATCATTCTCTTTCTTCATAGCGATAAAGTAATTATTTTCCGAGATATTTCAAGTTGAATGTGAAGCTGCACAATTATATGAATTAATTATGTCGATATTTTGGATCAATGGATTGCATTCATTAATAATGAAATAAAACTTTTCTGTATGTCCTCACAGCCATCCACCGGCGATCCACATTATATATAGATAATACAAATAATTTTGAGAGAACCTTTTTACCTTTTTTATCCGAGTATTAAAGAAATCTCCATGCAGACGGACTGATAAAAAACGCTTCAAACCATAGCACTGCTATTGATGATGCGATTTTGGAAAAAAAGAGCAAAAAAAAACTCATCCGATAATAATTATGAGTAGGCTCTGATCATATTTTTTTCAAATATCAACAATAACGTCAGCGTCAACTTTTTTTTTCAAATGTCGCAATGCATAATATTTTGTTTTTCTGATCTGAAAATAAAATAATAAAATAAATGCTCAATTGACAAGTCATGCAATTTTGACAGTAAATATCACTGAAATGAATGTCAGTATTCCATTTTTCAGATATTTCAACTTTCAACACCAAATGTGATTCTGAGGTTTGCTGTGAAAAAAGTTGAAATATTCAAACTGGCTGTCGTTATATTAACATGCACACACAAGTCACACATACTTTGAAATTACATAGGATGTCAAAATATTTTACAAATGGAACATTGACGTTTATTTCATTGACATTCACTGCCAAATTCAATGATACATCTCAAATTTCTTTTGAAAATATTTATTTTTGTTATTTGAGAGTTTATTTTTTATTTCAATTAATTTTGTTAGAAAATGAACTTGTCCTTATAATAATATCATTGTATTCAGAGAAATAATAATGAACAAAAAAAAATTTAACATACCGGGTGTCAACGAATCTATTAGACAAGTCATAACTTCTAGACCATTAGGTGCATCAAAATGAGATTTGGTATAGGTAAATGGTATGTGAAGAGGAGACTTTTCACATATTTTTCACTTTCTGGTCACTTCCGGTTTCACCGGAAATTGCTCCAGTTCTAAATTTTTAAATGGAACACCCTGTATATTGTAACATTTTTGGATTTCTGAGGCAATTCTAGATCAGAATGTGATAATTTCGAAAGTTTTTATGCCTACTTAATTTTTTCGGAGTTACATTTGAAATTACATCTAGGTGGCCATGATCGGAAGTAAACTAATCTAAGGACCTCAGGTGATATCAAAAAATTACAATCGCGAAGTTTCAGTGACAAGAATGATAGAAATGAATAAGACAAGTTGGCTAAATTACATTTTCCTGTCTATTATTTTTCAAATGGCGACCATTTTTTGACAAGCACTTTCCGAAAAAAGGATATTTTGACGAATCTAACGCTACTAATTCATTGGATCAACGAATTTAACAAAATTAACAAGAAGACTTGATCGGAATAACTGTAAAATATTATGCATCATGCCTATCCTCGGCACACTTGACAAGAGTAAATAAATTATTATGAAGTATTTTCGTCAGTAATATTTAATTTATGTTCTTATTTGTAATCCAATCGCGAATAAATTAGTATCGTTGGATTCGTCAAAATATCCTTTTTTCGGAAAGTACTTGTCAAAGAATGGTCGCCATTCGAAAAATAATAGTTACACACGAAAATGTAATTTAGCCAACTTGTCTCATTCATATCTATCATTCTTGTCACTGAAACTTAGCGATTGTAATTTTCTGATATCACCTGAGGTCCTTAGATTAGTTTACTTCCGATCATGGCCACCTAGATGTAATTTCAAATGTGTCTTCGAAAACATTAAGTAGGCATAAAAACTTTCGAAAATATCACATCCTGATCTAGAATTGTCTCAGAAATCCAAAAATGTTACAATATACAGGTGAAACCGGAAGTGACCGGAAAGTGACCTTCACATACCATTTACCTATACCAAATCTCATTTTGATGCACCTAATGGTCTAGAAGTTATGACTTGTCTAATAGATTCGTTGACACCCGGTATAGTGCTATTTGACAAAAAAAAATCAGTCGCTTTCAGTTGGAATTCAAAGAAATAATGATCAGAGCCTACTCATAGGATTTTATGACTATTTTTTTTTCGCGTATTTGTTATTTGAAATCGGATAGTTAATGTAGCGGCGCTATAAGGCTTTGGGCGGTTTTTCTCATTTAGCCTGTATATTAATGAAATATATCGAATATTTGGATTTTGATTCTTGAGAGAAAACTGAATATTATTTAATATTTACTAGAATCAATCTTCCTAAACAAAAATTGTTCCCCTCCTCAAACATTGCCTGGATCCGCCCCTGATACTATTGCTTGCTTGACGAGTATCGACTATTGAGTTGCCTCTAATTGCTCCTTGTATAGTGTTTTCAACTCGGTTTTCAACCTGCATATTGTGATTATAACTCGTGTTATAGGCCTAACTTCAGGCAGGACCCAGATGCATTCGAAGTTGTAGTGACAGTCGATGTTACTGTTGAAGGATTCTCGAATGCTAATGTTATCAAGAAGGCCTTGTATGATCCGATAACGACCTACCACAAACTTGGCGAATTCACTATCGCTGACCGAGATGATTTTCGATTCACAGAATTCGGTGGTGAGTACCAATTTTTCTTCGGATGAAGAAAGATAGATAGATAGATAGATAGGTTCTTTATAGCTTTCAAAGACATTACAAACCTATAGCAAGGATTCTGTTAATTCTGATGACCACTTGGATATGTTTACATGAATATGTGTACAATGCGAATTATAATAATTGCCACTATACATATATGCAAATAAAGACAGTTTTGACAAAAATACGAAAAGAAAGAAGGAAATGAGGCAAAGTTGATGATATCACGAAGTGCTACTCGTTTCTTGAAAATGCTCTTCGGATGAAGAAATGATGATGACTATTTCACGTAGTTATCAAATGAACCAATCAAGAGATCTATATAGTTAAGCTCGGATTATCGATGACACCAAAATTGACTCTTGATGCTGATTGGCCTATCAAGTTTGGTGTTTGCAAATACGTTTGAGTCAAATATCGGCAAACAATCCATTTTTCACACAGGAATCGTTCTATACAATTTATTACCAATTCGATTGAGGAATATAGAGGAAGCAATTCGATTCAAAATTGACTTGAAAAAATATCAGCTTCAGAGACTTTGATAATTTCATTTCTTATTTGCATACCTACTTATGAAAGACAAGGTTGATATTGCATGATTATTTGCATTTTTTTTTTACTTGTTATATCTTATTATAATGTCATAATTGTATGTATAACATTATGTATATTGTTTATGTATCCCTATTATGAACAACTATGTTTCTTGGGGTAATAAAGACAATCAATCAATCAATCAATCAATCAATCAATCAATCAATCAATCAATCAATCAATCAATCAATCAATCAATCAATCAATCAATCAATCAATCAATCAATCAATCAATCAATCAATCAATCAATCAATCAATCAATCAATCAATCAATCCAATCAATCAATCAATCAATTATGTGTACTGTATATCTACTATGTCTATATAAGGCGCATCGCCTATACGATATCTCAACAAAAATGGGACCAAGATGAGAGGTACTTTTTGAATCTATAAGGACGAAAAGTGAAGGATGTCTTCATTGACTAGTAGTTCATGAAATGAGGAAAATTACATGCTTTCATCGGATATGAGATAGATATTATCACAAATTTGAAAATGTCTGTATTATCATTATTTTGCAATTATCGCCTATATAATTATCCTACCGATTGTTGCTTTTTCACTAAATTATTTGTATTGTTTCATGAGTATAGTTGATATTTTATAATTTTTAATTTTTATTTATATTTTTTTGCATTAGCTACACCTCATTTCTGCCAACAAAACCAGTGGCAATGTAAGAGTCGACAATGTATCGATGCTGCAAAATATTGCAACGGAGATAGAGATTGCAATGACAATTCGGACGAAGAAGACTGTCCTTATGGTATGTTTATTTTTCCAGCAATCCAACAAATGAACCAAGAAACTTCATGAGTATTTCTGTCGTTTCAATTGAAAAATTTCTATTCTTCATTCTGTATCATTTATTTTTTTGTTAAGTTGGAGAGCAATGTGAACAAGAGAAGTAATGTTTGATTAGAGATTTATTCATAGGGAACTGATTTTTACGAACCACATTGAATATAAGAATTAATATTGGAAACCATCAGTTAAAGCTAAAAAAGTATTCCAGTTTTTCAAAATACAATAAAATAGTTGTTGAAAGTAGAATAAAATGGAAAAAATCTACAGAGAGTGCTGCAGATTTAGTATATGAAATGCACAAGAGTTAAGAACTATTGAATAAACAAAACATAAATCGTTTCTTCAAATGATTCATAACTTTCTCATTCTTGAAAATTATAGTATTTGGTGCAATAATTATCCATTGATTCATGCCATCAGTTTGATGCGATTTAAATCGCATGAATATCAAGATTCAATATTAATGTCACTTCCTTCATTCTCGTGATCATCAACATATTCTGGTCATTCATCACTTTATTTACATATACCGTCTGACTGTGGAAACCATGGCTCACGGATACTCTGAAAAACTCGTTGTTACCTGGTATTGTTGATAAGGAAAAGAATGAGCATACCTTATAAAAACTCATGGAATATTATATCCAAATATTGTTCACTAACGAAAAAGAGGAAAATGGGAATCACGAGGATAAAGGGAGATTATACCTATGGGTGGGACGAGGAAAATCCCAGTAACTTAATAGCATTTGGAGAGATGGCAACCGACTAAGAAAAAATAAACATGAAACTAATATAAACAATGAAAGATATGAGTTCTTTGTTCATTTGTGGAGCTCTGTTTTATTTTTTACTTTTATTTCGATTCACATGAAGCATGAATTTTATCATCATACCAATCTTTCCAACAATCACCTGCAACCTATCGTTCTAAGGGTACGTACATGTTGAAGATACATGAATATATGCGCGGTGGAGGTCGCGGCCGAGGTTTACACAAAGAATTAGTGGGATTACATCGATGACAAGCAGGACATACCGAAAATGCCTTCCTTTCACTGTTTTTTTTTGCGGTTTCTGAGGTGACTGATGAGATACGTGTTTTGGAAAAATTTGCTTTTTTCATTTGTAATTCTTCAAATCGCCAGTTTTCGGCTCATCCTATAAACCAACAAAGGCAGTACCTATCTAAGAGAACACCATCACCTATTTGAAGAGTTTAAGAAACACCAGACAAATTTTATGCTTATATACAACATTGAAACAAAAATTGAACATTGCAATTATTCAGCAGAACATTATGAAACAAACAGCCCTAACGTCTCGCAACCTGTTTAAAACAAGAAATAAATAAATAACTACCATCCGTATGGTGGCGAATATCACGTGCTTTGAAAAACACCAATGAACGTGACAAGCGGGTGGAACTATATAGAGTTCCTAAATGTACTTGACACTGCTGATTTTGACCTTTTTTACGGACACTATGAAAAGCACTGACAATCAGACATAACCACAAATGAATCGATGAAAAAAACGGAAACTGACAGTACACGGACGTACATGACATAAATTTGAAAGGTTTGACAAATTGGGAGAATTAGAAGAAAGATGCAAGTTTTCGCAGTTTCCAACTGTGAGAACACGGGAAATCAATTCACTCTATTTGAATTTCCATCGGATAACGTAATTCTACAAAAATGGAAACATAATATGATGCAGCCGGCATGGAATATGGCTTCAGGCCACAAAATTTGCAAGGTATTCAAATTTCTTGGTAGGATATAGAACATTTTTCAACACTTTTATCAGGTATAGTTCAGAACGGAAGATTTGATGTTGAAGAATATAGGATCGTATTGAGAGAAAGAGTCGAACCCACAATTCATAAACTGAGCGAGTATCGAAAAGAACCTTATTCCAATTTAGGTGTTGGATTGATGGTGATCATGGTCGATCATCTGATGATGAAATAGCAGTAACTTTCTGAATTGACTGACTCAAACAGTTTCCACATCCCTGTTTGTGAAAACATATAGTCACTTTGTGGAATTCTGATGTACCAGATATTGATGTATCTATATCAGAGAGTTGTTTGTGTATCGCTTCTTCATAGTTGAAATCCCAAGTCTGAATGTGCATGTTCATGCGTAGTTGAGAAGTGCTAGACGACTACATAGCTCCTAGAGGGTTTTGAACCACTTCTTTGGTACCAAGATACGAGCAAGATATTATCAGAGCACAGAACAAGAACGCTTAACGAGTGCACCATTTATGTTAGATATTGAAAATGATCTTCCGATGGCCGGGTTCAAACCAACAATCCCCTTAAGCGGGGATCTATAGTGAGTCGAGCGCTGAAGTCCATTTATACCTACTTCCATATGTCTTGGAGAACCTTTATTATTTAACCTAACTGAAATCAGCTGTTATTGTTGCCATATCATTCGTTCATTTATGAATTACTTATTACCTATCACTCTTGTACAAGTGAAATTGTTCCATACGAAATAAAAGTATGTTTCATGAAATTTATCAGTTCTTACCCCACTCTGAACTTTTGTGATAAACAAATATTCAATTGCTTGTCTAGTGTCCGTACTGTAATATACAAAAAACGTCAAAACAGCAGTGTCAAGTACATTCAGGAACTCTAGGTGGAACAAATGTGTTTATTTTGACATCGATGTAGCTACCGCGACCGTCACCACCATACCGCGCACATCCATGTATCTTCGGCGTATCCGTACCCTAAAAAACAACAAAATCAGGCCCAGTCGAACCGGAACCCAGAACCACTACCACCACTACCACCCCCCCAACAACAACAACAACTACCCCCGTCCCGGAAACAACACAAGCGCCGACAACAACCCCGCCAACCACGACCACAACCACCCCACCACCAACCACGACCACCTGGGTGGGGGTAGAAACCGAAGGGCCTTCGACAGGGCCGGACCAGGGCCAGGGCGGGCCCGACGAAAACTTTGACGGGGGAAGCGGCGATGAAGAATGCATCAGGGCGGACGACTACGCCGTAAGATGCGCAGACGGCTCCAGGAATATATGCGCGATGCAGAAGTGTGATGGGGTAGTGGATTGCGACGATGGCAGCGACGAGAACGAGTGTTCTGGTACTATCGGCGTACAGGCGGTTCATGGGAAACGTTGGTTTGTCTGAAAGTCCGAGAATTAATTGACCATATATCACTTGGAAAAAGTTAGACATCTCTTGCTTTTTGTCGGTTGCAGCGGGACCCTAGTTGCAGCTACTGTCAAGTTGAGTGGCATTTTTTGAATTGACTCGGCCGTTCCTTGATGGAAATCCATGGCAAATTTAAAAACTTCACAAACGATAAGATTTCTACAAAATTCTCAAACACACAAAATGTTTTGCTAACACAGTAGCTTCTTCAGGTGATATTCGCAATAGAAAATAAGCGTACGACACCTATCGGAGTTCTTGAAAGCTGTCAAAGCGGCATGTTTATACTTTGCTTTCATTGGTTCACATTTGTTTTTTGTTTGTGCTGATTGGTCATATCATCAAAACAAACCGCTCAGAAGTGTTCAAGTTGATGCCGCGTCAGGTGAAGCGACGTTATTTTCTATCGCGAATACTGGTAAAATAAACTCCACAGTTCATTGTACCAGTATATCACCTGACGAAGCTATTGTGCTAGCGAAACATGTTGTGTGTTTAAGAATTTTGTGGAAATCTTATCGTTTGTGAAGTTTTTACATCTGAGTGGAATTTGTCGAATGCATTGTCTTGTCAATGTCAATGATAAGTAGATTGAGAAAGAAATGGCCCAAGAAGTTTTTCTTGCTCTTATTTCCAATTATTAACAATTCACCAGATTTTCATTTCAAAGAAATACAATATTTTTGATAGTCGCGCCGATTTTATTCACATTTGATATTTGACACCTCTGCAGCCAACCGTAAAATTTGAAATGTCTAACTTCTGTAAATATGGTTAATTACTTGAGGGATCTTCACGTTTGAATTCAACGGAGATCCGGCTGCGGTACTGACTTCACGCTTTCCATAACCTAGAGGCTCAGAAGATCTGACGTTTGATGCTCTACAAGTAGTTTGGATTTTAGGACATATACCTGTCATGACTTGTCTTGAGTACAGGGTACCTATGGTATTCCAGACTCATCATTAGGATCTCTCAAATCGTAAGAGATACAGAGTCGGTTAAATCTTGTCAAAGTTATGAAATTTCATGCCTAACAAAATGCCAATTCTAATTTTCTGAGTATCCGATTTCTCTCGGACATGTACGAAAATAACCAAAATTTCCCAAAACCTTTCTTAAATGTATTCAAGTTATTTGTAGGAATTGCTCGAAATGAATGATATACTTCACCATGACCGCTTTTTGTTCCCTACAAGTTGGCGTTTTCAAATTTGAAATCCGGCGTTTCGTCTTCCAGAAACCATCATCAACTTATTTTTTTAAAATTACGGACCTGGATTCTCATTCCAATTTTTCACAGCTTCGGATATCCCAGAAGCTATGAGCTATCACAAATTTCTATTTTCGAATGTTTCGTTTACAAAAATTGACAGATTTGCATTAGATATTGATAAATCATATGCATTCTGAATGCTTGTAAAAATACTTCATATTCGCCCATTTAAACGTTTTTGTAGAACCAACATTTACTGAGACTGCTATTGAGCATAAAATATATAAACAATTACCCTGTACATACCTTTAACCTCAATGAGGTATGTAGGTACTTTTTTAATCATCGCCGGATAGATGGATAGCTCATCAGCTAAAATATTTGCAAACTCCTAGAACTTTTGCTTTTTATTCCTGGAATGTGTTACAACCTTGTTATTTTCATATTCCATATTCAGTCCGTTTTCAGGCAGATCCTAGAATTCTTAAACAATGCCCCTCGAGCAATTCAAGGTTTTCTGATAAACTCTACTTTGAAGAGTCCATCACAAATATTCCATATCAAAAGAAAGAGTCTTGGGCATATATCTACATGAATGCCAATGGAATGAGGTATTTCAAAAAGTTCTCAAACATCAACAGAGTTGAGAGAGTTATGAGATCCTTCTTATTTTGGCCAGAACTCAATAAATTGAGAAATACTTCTTTGTCTAATGGCACATCTAATATAACATACATAGGTATTTCGATACTGATTTGAAGTGAACGATACGTTTCATATTCACATACCTGCTTTCAACAACAACAAGAAAAAATCGCATTTTCTAGTTGTCGATTGGCCGAATCTGAAAATTTAAATTTCGAATATCAGATTTCGTATTCACATATGCAACCAAACAAGTGTGTGATAATAAGAAATTAAATCATTATAACATAACAATTAACTAGATACAATCTTTCCTTTGGCATGAAGCGAATGTCCTAGTGATGAGTTCGCAAATAATTCAGCTGAGCAGCGTCGATACTTCTAATTTCCAAAAGAGTTGACCAATTTAATCTCTCAATTCGGCTAACCAACGGTTTCCATGAATCAGCCTGTAGTCAAAGCAACAGTCTTGTTATTTGGATCTAATACTGCTTGGCGGTGTCGGGACAGTTTTTGCCTTTTTAACACAACGGAGTTTTGCTGCTTTGGGTGTTGTTTTTTGTCTACTTTCTGGTGGAGGAAGTTGTTTTTGGTTTTGCCTAGTCATCAATCACCATATCATCGAGTTCTGTAATATAGGAGAGGTGATCATATTAACAACTAATCTTTATTTCAGGAATTGGAGCTATAGGCTATTAAATGATTTATTGATGAAAATATAATGTGTTCCATTTTTACAGATTTCCTACGTTTCCAGCAATTTGAACTACCCACTCATTTTATAAACCTGAAACATTCTTTTTTTTTTCAAATACAATTCGAATATTCGAAGAATCATTGTTGTATTCAACAAACAAATGGCACGCAGACTTTTGAATAATGTGAAGTGTGATCCATTCAAGACTGGAGAACCCTTCTATGTAAAATCCAAATTTTACAAACAATTCCAAAAATGCATTTCTTACAAAAAGCGTCATGAATCTGTGGTAGCATATATATTCACAAACAAACAATTAAAGTATGCTACATTTTTAAGATCAACATTGGCTAAATGTTATTAACAAAATTGGAAACTCGTTCAGGTTTATGACCGAAATTTTTAGAACTTCCAATTCTTATAACTACAACTATATAACATGTTATGAAGTCATACTGACACTCCCTAATCAGTCTTTCAAATTCATTTCTTTCACTCGTTTGAATATTCACCTCATATTGCTTTTAATGTTATCGTATCAGTCAGTCTACAAATATTTTCACAATATTATGGAATGAGGTTTCCCAAATTTAATTATTCTCAACTTCTCTATCAGTCTTAGGTCTCTCATTGTTATAAAATTGTATGTTATAATTCAACTAGCTGACCCAGCAAACGTTATTTTTCCATAAACATTATCTCTATAAAAAATGTTTCTAAAGAAATATTTATTAAAAAACTTTTATTATTTTATTTCTACATCTTCTTAGTTTGACTATCCATTAAAGCGGAATTCTTTAGTTTTCAAACTTCTTATTCATTTTCTAATTCTTTTTAGTTCGGCACTCTATATCTCTTCATTTTACAGAGTGTAACGAACAAAAATTGGGAGGTGTTGGTCTCAGCTTTGGTCCAGACAAAAAATGTTTTTCGTCTCGGGCAACATTTGGTTGAATGAAATATAAAAACAGTCTTTCGATAAAGAGATAGGTTCACCAGGAATTTTTCAACACGTCAATTTCGTCAATTGCAATATCCTATGTTGTTTAAATACAAATGTACAAATTAACTCCATTAATTCACCTTTAACCCTGTTCAGAATTACTGCATTTTTACTAATAGTTTTGGTGTTGCACTTTCATACCCACTATTCATCATTCTTCAATATCTACTCAATAACTCATCAAATCGAAACGAACTTTTTCACACCATTTTCAGCTCGGCCCAAGATGTGTTTTATGTTCAGGAGCCATTTGTAAATAGCATCGATTATCTCCAAACTATATATACACTGTGACATTTTGAAAACTTCCAATGGGCTATATCCATAGAAATCATTTTATATACAGGGTGTTGCGAAATTCGACCGACAACGCTTGACAGGTGATAGATGATTTCATAATCATACGGTCTTCGAGTGTTCAGTTCTCTAGATACAGGGCGTAAAGTTGAGAAATAAAAATAGTTGTTTCGCAATATCTCAAGAAGAATTGAATATAATGCATTCAAATTTGGTATATGGTTTCATCTTTGCATGGGTCATTTTTTGACCAGAAAGACATTCCGGACGTTTTATCCAGTGGTGCCCTCTTGTGGTAACTTTTCCTCCCATATTTTCTACACCACTGATTAAATTTCGATTATTTCCAATTCGTCGAATTCATTGTTCAATTCTGTTAAAAAAATGCAACATCTTCAACTGAGCTGAATGAGATATTCGACCCAAAATAGAAGATTGCATAGTAATATTTCATCATTTTCAGTAGTAGAAAATTGCAAAAATATTTTTCTGGTGTTGAGTAGATTAGACTATTCAGATCTCATTCTGTAGCTGAACAGAAATGGTTGTTCCACGCATAAAGAGAAAACAAACATTTTTGTAATTTTCTACTACTGAGGAAGATCAAAAATTACTATGCAAACTTCTATTTTGGGGCAAATAACTCGATAACTGTTCATTTCAGCTCAGTTGAAGGTAATGCATTTTTCCAACATAATTGAACAATCAATTCGAGAAATTGGAAATAATCGAGATTTCATCAGTGGCGTAGAAAATATAGAAGGAAAAGCTATCACAACCCTCTGTAGCGCACCTCTGGATGAAATTCTCGGAATGACTTTCTGGTCAAAAAATGAAACAATTGAAAGATGAAACCATATACCGAATTTAAATGCAGTACCTATATTCTATTTTTCTTGAGATATTGCGAAAAAAACCATTTGAACACTTGAAGACCGTGTGTCTCTATCTCAGCGATTATAAAATCACGACGGCTATCACCTGTCAAGCGTTGTCGGTCGAATTCTGCAACACCCTGTATACTGATGATTTCTATGGCTATATCTCACAAACGAAATGAGATATCAAGAAACGCTTAGAAACGTTTCTAGCATAGGAAGGGGGAATTTAAATGACATAAAAGAGAATCCATTTGAAATTGTTACCTAGTTATTAATTTGGTAATGATTGATACATCCTGAACAATCATTATTTTTACCATTGGATAGTCTTTTCAGTGATGTTTCACATATAGGGGGTTTGCTAATTGAACTCTTTTAGTTCCCTCTTCCTATCCTACAAACAGCTTTAAGAATCTCTCATTTGGAAGATAAAGCGCATTGTAAGTTTTTGAATTGTCACACTGTATAACTTCTATAACCTGAAGTATCACGTTTATCAGAGACTTGATTCCTTTCCTCCTGTTACAGTATGCCGTCCCGATGAATTCAGGTGTGACGTCAGCAGATGCATCCCTGCGAATCAGCACTGTGATGGAATAAAACACTGTACAGATGGTACTGATGAGCATAACTGTGTTACAGGTAAATTATTAGGTTTTTTCCACAACTATTGAATTGAAAGCTGGCCTTTCAACATGTATTCAACAAAACCTCTGCGCGAAAAAATATTTATTTTTGTTAAAAATTATGATTTATTTATTCATTTATTTACTGTACTGTATCATCTGCATACACGGTATATTTACTCGCTAGACCAGAATCACTGATATTTTGAACATAAAGTAAATATAGTAGAGGTCCTAAATCAGAGCCTTGTGGAACACCCCTATTAATCAATAGTTTATTCGACACAGAGTTGGTGGATTTCGTATTGATTGTCCTATTTTCAAGTTATGAATCCAAAACATTTCTCACAGTGCCTCTCAGTCCCGTTGATTCCAAGTTTTCTGAAATTGTTGTATGATCAACTGTGTTGAAAGCCTTTTTGGATATCAATGAAGACAGCTACCACATATTTTCTTGAAGTCCTTTTTGTCAATTGAGCTAAATGCAAGTTTATTTTGCCAACTAGTTACACTTTTGGGAAGAAATTCATTCATTCAGAAATTCCAAAGTGAAGATGACCTCCAAAAAATACTCTATTACATTAATTAAAGTCCACATCTTTCAAAAACGTTCGATCCATCAATTATTATTCCAAAAATGCACGAAGTTTGCAGGAGAAAACGGTTTTTGACAGTGAACTAGATTGGAAGATTGGAGACGTATTTTAAAATAGTGAAATAAAATTTATCAATGCAGAATAATATTGACCTATTCATCTTGATAATTTTTATTTATCAAGTTTCATTTTCCAATTCACATATGTTGAGGAATAACTCAGCCAGTGATTTTTGTTATTTTAATGTGACCATATATTTGACAATTCTCACAAGTGAACGCCACTGGAGCATAATTATCGATGTAGTCAGCTTTTGCGCCATCTCTTACGGAATGGCCGAAATGAAATTGAAAGCGGTTGCATGGTTGCTTCTCAGTCCTTCATTCTCGCATTGAAAATGTGAGAACGTTCCCTGGTTGAGAGCTTAGATTCACAATAAACAGAGAGCGCCACCAATATAGTATCATTATTTCTCTATTTTCAAAGCCACTGCAGAATAGGAAACTTACAGTATGTTACAAATGATGAAAAAGATAATGATTCTTTCCTAGTTTTTTCTCATAAAGTGTTCATTATCTATTATATCGTGATAATATCTCAAAGTAATGTCAAATGAATATAGGTATAGTCCTACTTATATAAATAAACTGTTATTACCATATTAGGGCTATGCCTTAGGAATATGTTGGTGTTGGTGTTGGCTGATTATTTTCTGGCAAGCATTAGGAAACAATTGAATAGCAGGCAAGGCATTAATCGTTATAAGTACCTAGTTTTCAATAAAACTGCACTTATCATGCGATGGTTCATTTTTCTAAAATATTTTTTGGCACTTACGTATTTTTGTCTGAAAAACACGAATTTGATTATGAAAATGTGGACAAACCATTATTTATTAAGATATTTCACTATAAAGTTACAAATTTCATCTTCTTTTCCGCCTGACTTTTCGATCGCATTCAGAACAATTTGCCCTTCTTTTTTCATCGTTGGACAATTTATGGTGGATTTATGCAACATTTGCATAGTCCTAATCATAGTCTGAGTCATAATTCGAAACATAACTAGAAGTTGAGACAAGGTAAGGTATACTGCTTGAGGCCGTTATTTACACACCAATTTTAGTATCAAGCATAGGCACAAACCTAAGAAACGATCTTGAAAGTTGAATTCGAACTTTCATGCTTATGTTATGTGGATTCGGCGCATGCTCCTTTGACAGAACTGTTGATGATTTGTTGTTTACATGTTCCGAAAATAATATTATGAGAAAGCTTAGATGTTGATGAGTTTGATAGATAATTTTCCTCATCTCTTATACAAAAAGAACCACAAATTCTCACATGACTCTTATGCTTAAATCAAGTTTTGATGTTTCTGGATAAATACCTACCTCAAATCTCTAAGACAACGATTGATACTAAGACTATGCTTAGAACTAAGACCCCAGACAGCACTGGATATTCATAGAATATTCTCTAAATATGCTAAAAAGGAGGAGTATATTCCAAATATTCATCGATTATTCCTAGAATATATACATGCCTCTGGAACATCTAAATGGAATATTCCAAAGTGAATAGTCGGACATGTTCAGGGAATATTCAGGTATGAATCTTCCAGGAATATTCCCAACTGAATATTCTCTGTTGTATATTCATGAAATATACCCAACTGAATATTCTGTGGGGTATATTCATGAAATATACCCAACTGAATATTCTGTGCGGTATATTCATGAAATATTCTCAACTGAATATTCTGTGGTGTATATTCATGAAATATTCTATGAACATTCCTATATTTCTCAACACATAAATACCATTTATTATTTCAGAGATGTGAGTATCGAACATCAATTAGATGTAATGAGATTTTGAAACAAAAAGTGTTTATGATCCGATTTCGAACAATGCTCTCACAAGAACTTGATATGTATAAAATTATTCAATTCGATTACTGGCCTAGTGGTCAAGGCGTTGCTCTGATAGTCTTGAGGTCACGAGTTCGATCCCTTCTTGGGTCACTTTTTTTTATTTTAGAATATGTTTATTGGAATATTCCAGGAACATTCAATACAGAATATTCTTTTGGGTATATTCTATGATTATCTGAGGAATTCCCATTCGCATATTAAGAGAATATTCCACAGATATTCCGGAATATTCCAGATTATTTCTAGAATATTCCAATATTCCAGAAGGAATATGATAGGGACATTCATGGAATATCTGGTGCTGTCTGGGACTAGGACTATGTAAATGTTGCATGAATCCGCCATTATATTTCAAAATGTACTTCAATGACACATTTTTTTCTATTATATTAGTCAACTAAAAATATGATTTTCTTGCAATTTATCCATATTTAGAGAAAAGAAAGAATATCATTTGAAATAATGGCGTGTGTATAATGTCATTCAGAAGCAATCTCTGTTGACATTTTTATTCGGTTTGACTATTGATCAAATAGTCGTCATCTGGTATGATTGTTCACCAAATATGAAAAACTCACCATAAAAATCATAATTCGTGTTGAATTTTCTATATAAAAATGTGTCATTGAAGTACATCATGAGTATATAAATCCAACACGGGGGAAAAAATAAGGCACAATTTCGAACTTTTTCTTGAAATATTTCGATAAATAGTGGTTTGTTCATATTTTCATCATCAAATTCGTGTTTTCAGACAAAAATATGTAAGTACCAAACAACATATTCGAAAAAAAAAAACATTGCATGATTAGTGCAGTTATATATATAAGTGAATTTCAACTGATTTGTATACAACTCGAGATACCTAAATGTTTTGAAAGGATGTTTTTTTTTTGTTTCAGAATGTAAGGATACAGAATTTAGATGTGATAGTGACAAATGTTTAATCCTCTCAAAGAAATGCAATGGTGTTCTTGACTGCCAGGATGGTGCAGACGAACGTGACTGTCCAGGTAAGATTTTTTTTTATCGGATTCGGTTATTATGGAAGATGGAAATCCATGGTAGATAAAAAACTGGAAGAAAAATGACAAACAATGATAGTTCCATAAATATTCTTACAATGTTGATAGGTTCCGGTTTTTATTTTTCGAATAATCATTGGAATCCATCATCCACGATATTTCATACGTCATAATCGCGAGAAAAGGTCGAATTGATCTTCTGTGGAAACCGCCTATCTATACCAATCAGAATAACCTCGCAAATATACAGGCTGATCCACGGTGGATGGCCTATTAGAAGTATCTGGAGAACGAAAAGACAGAACATTCTGAAAATTGGGATGCTTCGATAATTGAACATTCTATATCCGTCTAAAATATTTTCATCGATACAGTGTTGCCACTTCTATCAGAAACAACTAGCAACTTTGTTATTTCAAATGGAACACCCTGTATTTTCCCCTGTTTCTCATTTGTTTCTCTATTCGGAAATGCAGAATATTGATGAATATGCTCACTAGACGGCAACTTTCGATTTTCAAATGGGATACATACCTTGTATATTACCATATTTTCACCATTTTCAGAATCTTCATAATTATGTGGATCCAAAGAATTCCGTGAAACCAAGGGAAACCTTATACTTGCTATTTATCGATAATTGACAAGATACCCAGCGAAGAGACAATGTCTCTTCACTGAGATACCCGTACTCTACCCGTATGTACAGTGTGTCCAGTTTTGCGTGATATCTCAGTTGTCTTTGGAGATAGAACCTTGCAGTTTTCGCGGTAAAATGTCAAATTGAAATCTCAGCCCATAAAGAACTTCACGCGGAATCCAGTGGCGCACTCAATTTTTTTTCGGGGTATGGTTTTGGAGATGCGACTCAAACTTATGATTTTTATAATGAAACACCCTGTATTTTATCAGCTAATTGAATTCTTTTTTTTTTCATTTAAAGTGTTATATATAAATATAAAAATTTCAAATATGCTCCAAAATCCCTAAAACATTGAATTCTAAACGGATTGGATGGATTTTTCATATAAAAAAGTTCCAATCGAAGGAATATCCTTATTGATTTTTCATGGAGAGGACAAAAACAATACTAACACTGATTAACTAACAAAACACAAAATGTTCATAATTCAGAATAAGCACCTGATTAAATATTAACTAGAATAATTGAATTCCGAAATTATTCAGTAATTCATTCATTGAATTGTTGAAATTGATGCCCAGTTTCACTCACACACTCTCTAAATACGTCTCATGCATTCAAAATCATTGAAGAATGTCTTTGTAATTTCTGGAAACTGCTACATTATGAACTTTTTATTACTATTTTTCTGTTGCTTTCAGGAACCTAACTCGTGAGTTTTGTTAGTTAATTAGATAAATATTGTGTTTTTCCTCTCCATAGCCCGCTATTAAATTTCAATGTTTCAGTGTTTTTGAGCATTTTTGAGAATTTTATATCCATACATCATATATTATTTTGAAAAAAAAAAGAGATTCAATGAGCTTATAAAATACAGAGTGTTCCATTTAAAAAACCATAAGTTTGAGTCGTATCTGCAAAACGGTATCCGAAAAAAAAAAATTTGGTACGCCACTGGATTCTGCGTAAAATTCTTCATGGAATTAGATTTTAATTTGACATTTTCGCTCAGAAACTTCGTAGATATAGGGGGGGTTCAAGAAGTATAAATTTTAAAATCGCTCTGTATCTCATAAAGGGAAACAGTTATGCAAAATCTGATTATGCCATCGTGAGTTCCACAAAAGTGGATGGTTCTATCCCCACAAATAACTGATATATCACGGGAAGGCATCGAACACTATACCTTTTAAACTTCAATTTCGGAATCGGTGAGTTATATTTCGGAAAAAGTAATCTTGATTTCAGAATTGGTTAGTTCGATTTCAGAAATGGTAAACTCAATTTCAGAATCGGTGAGATGAATTTCAGAAAAAGTCCATTCAATTTCAGAAATGGTAAGTTGTATTTCAGAATTATTATTGGTAGGTTCAATTTCAGAAGATGAAATCCTTTTATATGTTTGAAATGGTTTTAATTGAGAAAGAGAATATGTTTACAGTGGATGAACGGTGTTTGAGAGCCCTATGTTGAATCAGATTGAACATATATGGGATGCCTTCAAGTCAGAAGTGAAGAGCTTCTTGCAAGAGCATCGCCAAAGGGTCATAGCTGGGGATCCGAACAGCTTGCTCAACCAGATAGAATTCAGACTGCGATGTCTTGAGGAATGTGCAGATCATTCAATGAAAATGATAACACCTCAAATGTGTTTGCATTCTCATAATCATGTGCAACGCTATTATCTTCCAGCGATTCGGATGGAAGGCATCTGTGGAATAAATTGAGATTATAATTATGTTATTGAATTGTTTTTGACAAGTTGTAAGTTGTAAATATGGTTTGTTAATCTCACATATAATTGGAAACATTTCGAACAAATATAAGGATTTTTTTTCTGAAATTGAACCTACAAATTCTGAAATACAACTTACCATTTCTGAAATTGAATGGACTTTTTCTGAAATTCATCTCACCGATTCTGAAATTGAGTTTACCATTTCTGAAATCGAACTAACCAATTCTGAAATCGAGATTACTTTTTCCGAAATTGAAATTGAAAAGGTATAGACACAAATACGTCAGTTTGCATCAAGTGACCCTAAGTCAACCCTCAATTTATAATAGACGTCAATACGTCAAACGGTCCGAAACAGGTTCCTTGTCTTTCCAGCGCTCTTCAACGACTTCAACCTAATATAGAAGAAACTTCCGGATCGTGTTCCACCATTCATCCGGCCGCGAACTATCCATATAAATGAAATTCCAGCAATCTGCGGCGAGTTTTGCAATTGTAATATGAATAAAGTATGATTGCGTTTCGTTCGAGAGCATATCGCCCTCGCTGCATGTGGCCCGCGATAATCAAGAGGCGGCGCGCCATCAACAAATCTCTGTCGGCGAGATGAGAACTGCAAATCCCGGTTTAATATTTCGGCATCTAAAAAGCCGAAATCGGCGATGAAAAAGTGAGATTTGGTCTGCAGTGAGAAATCAGTAAATTCCAACGCGCTATACAGGCTGATTCACGGTGGATGACACATTAGACGTTTAGAGGATTATCCCGAAAGGTTGGGGCCTTTCATAAAAACTTGTGTTCTATCGACCTAAAATATTCTCAGCGTTGCTACGTTGCCGCATATAATGAAAAGTAGCAACAACTTTGATTTTTTAAATGGGACACCCTGTATATTATTCCATTTTCAAATTCTTCCTGGAAAACTGATTCCATTGACAGATAATACTTGGGGTCTGGTAGTAATAACTACAGAGTTATAGGATGTGAAAAATCGAGATTTTTCTACTTTAGGAATTTTTTGTGTCGAAATTATTCATAATTGGTCGAAACGGTTTTAATTGATATTCAGATGATTTTTTTTCAGTTGTTGTTCAGATTCTTGTTGATGAAACTTAAAAACTCCATACTTGCTTGTATTCCTTGTATCTTTTTTGAAAAAGGAGATATCGACGTGAATCAAGAAATATTGTGATGACTATTCCACTCTTGATCTCGAGAACTAATCAGAATCGACCATTTTCATGGTTTCTTCTGTATTCTAGCGATATTTTTTGTTTATTAAATTTTATCGGACTTGCTCTACCAATACAGAAGCCGAATTGACCCACACGTGACCAACTAACCTCGTTTATCAGCGATAAAATTTTGACATCGTGTCTGGTCAAGATTGCTTCGGATTCAAATCTTAGACAATATAACCTAAGTTTCTACTTTATTTTATTTACTTATAATTCGCGTTAGTGAGATATTTTGTGCGAAAGGCGAGACAATTTCATTCTGGTGGACGTTTCATGTGTAATTTAAAAAGTTTGCATATTTGTTGACGGTCTGACACAACAATAATGAAATTCAAATTCCTTCTTGAAGTAATCTTCTTCAATTACTCAACTTATTGTGACTGACTAATATAATTACTAGCTGATGTAGCGCAACTGTTAGGGTTGTTGCGCGAGGATACTAAGGTCGGTGGTTCGAGCCCTCGGCGACGATACATTTTTTTAATTATTCCATGTCACATAAATTCAATTCATTTTGTTTGAATTGGATAGTCATTGTATACACTCTTTCGAGAGCAACCATCTCCAAGATAATAAAGAAAACACTGTTTATCAAAATTTTACATTCCACTTTGTGAATAACTATAAGTAGGTAGTTGATTTCTAAAAAAGTAAATTCTGTATTTCATTACTATCATTATGTTCTTCTTCGCAGTTCGAGTTGGAATATACTTAAATTATGTTTCCTATTTCTTATATATACAGGGTGTCCGGAAATTATGCGCAAAAAATCAAGGGGGTGATTCTGCATGTGAAAACATGAAATTTATTTCATATATACTTGGGTCCGAAAATGCATAGTTTTCAAGATACAGTGTGTTATACTTTTTAGAAAAAATCGGTTTTTTATGAATATCTCAAATATCTTTTCACCGATTCCCTTGAAATTTGGCAATGATATTCTTCGTCATGAGGGGCTGATTTAACCATAATTCGAATTGGAATTGTGAAATCCAGTGGCGTCCCTGGGGCACCCTACCAAATATTATTGTCAATAAAATGTGCGCCACTGATTTTTTTGAATGCTTCATCTTCATATCCTGATGATTAACTAAAAATACAATATTTTGATCTATTGAAATGTTTTGCTATTTTGCCGCGTTTCCGTGGAAAAAAATGAATACCAATTCATTGTATAAATTTGTGCAAAACATTGCTTAAAAAACAAGGATGAAATTGAATGTGTGATCCATGTCCATAGACGTATAATAAGAATGGAGATTCATTCTTTTCAAATATTTCATAATACATGGTTGACACACTCTGAATTATCGAAAACTACGCCTTCCTGGACCGAGAATACATAGTTCTCAATATACTGAGTGTAGAG